CAAGAACGCACAAGATCCTCGGCCCACTTTCGATCGGGTCGGATTATCCTCGACCCCGGTCCGGCAGAAACCCGAAACAGTTTCTGGAGAAATTGCTGGCCGAGTTGCGCTATCGCTGAATCGGCGCGAAATTTCTCAGCTCTTCCGTTCCCGGCGAATTTCGCGATCGGATGATCCTATCTAAACCGTCTCTAGCGAGGATACGCTCGGCGAATATCAATGTATAAATCGGCGCAGGGTGCGGAGTGCAAGGCGCGGGACGCAGGGTGCGGGTATAGCACGCGAAAAAATTATCGCAGATCCTCGCGACAGGGTGCCCGAGCGCCCTGTCGCTAATTTCTGCTCGAAGCTCCGCTCCTTCTGGCCACGCGCATCGCCGACATAGTAGCCTAACAGTCCCGATGTGACGCTATCGCGTATTTCTTGTAGCCGTGATATTCCGTTTTATTGCGCCGTAAACCTGACGGGACAGAGACGCCGCGCGGTGCGGAGCCGGGCAGAGCGGAGCTGAGCGGAGCGGAATCGCGGCGAACGGAGGCAGAAGTATGCGAGAACGCTCGAAACCGCCGTAAAAGTTAACGCCGCGAGTCTCCAGTTCCCCGACAGTATTTGCGGCTTCTGTCGACTCTAAACTTCGCCTAATCATAAAGCGCAGTCTTTCGAATCGGAACACGGACCGTACAATCCTCCCGGCAGGCTACACTTCAACCGATTCGAGAATTTAGTGGTCGTTCGCTGCAACTTTTGATCTACGCGCGGTTCAAAATTAACTCTTTCCGATCACGCATGATCTCGTATTCTAACGATGTCTATTGAATTAACCCTTCGCCGACACGGAGACGCTATAATTGGGGTTGAAGCGGCGTTTCTTTCTAATCATTATTCTTTTTTTCAAACTGTAAAATATGAGCCGTTTATTTTGACAGTGGCCTAAGTCAATTTATTCTTAAATTGAGATATTTATTGTTGATAATGTCCGAAGGCAGTGATGAAGGTAATTTTAATTAATTAGTATTTAACAAGTTAACCTCAGCTTTTGGACATTGGAATTGCTTTAATGAAAATTTTTAAGTCCTGGATTTATTACCACGTCGGGGTAGACCAAGAAAGTTCGAAAATGTTGTATTTTTTTTGACAACGTTGTATAAAAATATCAGACAAATTACAACAGCAAAATTCAAGGACGTAATGGATCTACTACGATATATACCACCGGAAGGAACATCATGATTTCTTCAAATTCCTTTCACACACTCACAAAATGTAGATGAGCAGTAAATTGTTTTGTAATTTATGTAGTTAAAAAATGTTTTGAATCGCGTAAATTATGTTTTTGAAATGTTGTAAAGATATATGAAAAATAAATTGAGTATTCTTTTTTCAATTTGAAGCTTCTTAAATTATGTTGAATCGATTTGGGCTCCTCTAAATTTTATAACGAATCTGATTATTAATTTTGGAAGTGGCCTAACTCCATTCTTGATAAGAAAACGCATATTATTCACTTAATAATTGCCATTATTTGAATAGAAACTATAAATTTAACTCCTTCAGATACACTTAAGCAGTATGACTCATTAGTATCCTGTACGTATATTTTTAATTGCATTGAAACGCAAACCCTTAAACATCTCAATTTAAGTATAAATGGACTCAGGCCACTTTTTCAAAATAATCGGCTCATATAATCGAAAACACAAAATCTTTTATTTATTAATTCTGTTTGAAACGCGACTTTCAAATAGGCCCGATTACATCGCGTTTTATTTGTACGAAACTGTGTTCACGTTGTTGCTCATTGCAAAAGATCTTGAACACCTATATAACCTATTTTGTACCAATTGTCATCGTTTATTGGATACGCGGAATAAATTTCCAGATATCACGCTGCGTCTTAAAGACGTCTATTTTTCATCTAAACGTCTTAAAATGGATGTTTTTAAGACGCCTTATTTCAGACGATAAAACGACGTCCAGTCCGGGACGTCTTTAAGACGTCTTATTTCAGACGTTAAAAGGATGTCCAGTTCGAGACATATTTAGTACATCTTATAAGTGTCGCTTATTCTCTACAAATTCCTATAAAATTTCACAGCGGTATAACGATGTCTATTTCCATTCGATTATGCACAGCGAAATCGAACTTTTCGCGAGACACATCAGAAAAGTCGTCCGAGCGCCAAGCGTTGAAGTTGCGCCGGAACAGTTTGTCGCATGCTGAAAGATTATCCCTGCGGCGGCACGCGATAAAAATTCTAATCGTTCTAATGAAACGGCGTGGAACGCTTTATCCGGCGCGGCCTGCATTTGTCTGGTCCCGAAATTGCAGGGGATCGAGAAGAAGAGCAGGATCGACCGCGAATAATTCCAGCCGGCGCGCCGAGCCGCGGGAATACGCCGCAGCCGGCAATATCTATTAACACCGTAGCAATCTTCTCGGCGTCGTGTTTCTTTCTCGGGCTGCGTTCGCCTATAAAACAGCCCCAATTGGTGGCGGTTGCACGGTTCCCGGTTAAAGCGGCGCGCGGATTCGGCGAAATTACATTTCTAAGTGGGACGCGGCACCGGCGCGGCCCCTCCCCGTGCGGAATAGTTTCCCCATAGCAAAACCGAAACGCGGAATTTACGAATATTAACGTTTATGCAGCGACGCATCGCGCAGCCTTCTGCGGTATCGCGGCCGAAACTTTGCCGAAAGCTTGCGCCCCGCGAGCGGAGCAAGCGTGAAGTCGCGGTAACGTCGGCGAAAGAAGGAGCAAGGAGGAGAGTGTTGTAGTTAGAGAAGGAGAGAGAGAGAAGGAGAGAGAGAAAGAGAGCGAGAGAGAGCGGAGAGAGAGAAAGAGAGCGAGAGAGAGCGGAGAGAGAGAAAGAGAGCGAGAGAGAGCGGAGAGAGAGAAAGAGAGCGAGAGAGAGCGGAGAGAGGGAAAAAGAAGCCGAAGAACAATGGAAGAAGCAGGGGGAGGAGGAGGAGGAGGGGGAGAAGAAAAAGGAGCGAGCGGATATGGAAGAGGGAGGAGCCTCGGTGCATGCATCGGCGCAATTTGCTCCCAGCTTCCAGATAATGATTTAATTTGCCACGGCCTGGCAGATTTATGAAGGCGCGCCTAGACCGCGTCCACCTGCGAACGCACACGCCTGGAAGCCTGCGATCAGCCTGCGATCACTCTGCTCCCAGGCAAATTCAACGTCTTTTTTGCCGGTCTGCGACGCTCGCCGCGAAACTTCCCCGTTATACCGAGACTTCGCGCACTTCCAGCCATGTATAATACTTGAGATCGCGGGAACACCTGCGAGACTGCTCTGTCACTGCCACTCTAATTCATTCTCACACTGCATCGTCGCTCCGAAAAACTCCACAAGATCAACGAAAAAAAACAAAAAACGTGTACGTATTTCTTTTCTGAATAATTCTAACGAGACGAACACGACGCGACGGTATCTTTAAATTCTTCAAATATCTTTACTGTCTCTCTGACTTAGTTTACTCGTTTTTGTCCTAAATTCGTCAAAGTGTCCAGTGGAAATGAGAAATCGCGTGTTACGCGACGGGTACGATAACCAAAACGAATAGGGTAATAAAGCCTAATAAAGCCTAGGTAAGGTAAAGTTACAATTTTTTATATTAAAAAATTATATATTAATTATTGTATTATATCTTAAATTATACTTTAAAAAATAAATGAAAGAAAAGAATCCTTTTTATCAAAAAGTGAACGAAGCGAAAGGATTTTTTAATTAAAAAATAAAGAAAATAAAGGTATGTGAAAAGGCGTGTTGTATCTTATTCGATAAATATAAAGTTAATTATGCCCGGGAACAAACCTAAGGGTTCCACTTTTTACCCGCGTAAAATAGGCATTTGCATAAAGATCCGCGGCCCGGTGATAAAGTATAAGCATCAGTGGAAGGATTACGTTCTGGTAAGACCACGAACGCGAATGGCAAACGAAGCAAACAGAGTTAGCAAGGTATTCTCCTTGGCGCGGAGCACGCTATAAATTCCGTGGGAATAAATTCGCTTCGAGAAGGTACAATTAGTAATCATTTATAATTGCGTGTTATCTGCGGCAACCTTATAAACACGATGTATCGTGCGCTATTCGTTTTAACGATCGCGTGTGTTTTCTTTGAGATTCGCCTCCCCGCCACGTAGCAACTTTAGCATACGTTATCTGGCACGTAACGTCGCGAACGGGCGCAGATAAAGCGCGAGAAAGACGCGACGGAAGGTCGAAAGTTTGCCGGAGAGAAAGATCGACAGCCACGCCATATCGGAATCTTTTAATAATATCGCGATCGAAACGAGACAGCCATTCCCTGTCGGGACGGTTTAATTGGTTTCGTCGCGGATGGTGGAATAATATTAGGAAGTAAGTTGAGATCTCTCTCTCTCTCTCTCTCTTTCTCTCTCTCGTTCGTTTTCTATCGAGTTATTCGATAGAACCGGGCGGACATTTCCGGATGAAAACGATTAATTAATATCGACGCGAAAATAAGAATAATTTCTCCATTTTACTCGATGGAAACTTCCGTGCAATTGCTTGAAAGTTGAACCTCGCGACGCTGTGTTGCGTAAATTCTGCTGCGCGAAGTATCAAAATCAACGTGCAAATAATAGATAATATTTAAAAAAATAACGAGCAACGAATGCGTGGAAACGTTACGGATCGAAGGCGAGAATGTTCAATAGTTGTCGATCATTGAAAACTGCAGACCGGCACGCGACGTTCCGGACGAGAAGAAAATTTAAGTAGAGCATCCAAGCGATTCGTCAGACGCTCCGCCGTGCTGGCGTCCTATTCTACTTCCAGACACCGTCTCCACTGACAGACTTTCGACTTTTCCGATACAGTATATGCGCGAAGTAATCATTCGTCGCGTCATTTCGGACAAATACATCTCCGAAAGTAGAAACGTCGGTGCACGCGTTCTCGCGTGCATCGGCGCGAAAAACGAAGAAACTGCGGTAAGAAAAAAGAAAAAAGAAATGGAGAACTCACCAAACCGTCGCAGGCGGACATCGCGACCCTGGAGTTCGGATGGCCATGAATGAAGCCGCGGTAATGGCACTTGTCCGAGCGATTTTTCGGTCGCGCGCGCACGTGTAGGTCGCGTTTTCGTTTTTCGACGAGCATCCCAGGTCCGATGAAGTTGTCCTCGGCGATCAGCTCGATATGGTACTCGTTACCGGCGACTGACAGCCGATAGTGAACCACTGGCCCATCCTCGTGATGGTGGTGGGTCACGTTGTTCGAGACAAACTCCCCCCGGTGGGTCACTTTCCGCGGTATCACGATCTGGTGCTCGTGAACGTGTTCCCCTGTGGTGTATATACCTGCGGCAGAACGGTCACAGCGAGCTTTGAGTTCGGTCTGGTGTTACGTTCAAATGTGCGGAACTTCTGGAAGACTTTGGGTCTTCTTTTTTTCTTTTCTTTTTAGGGAGTGCCACGCAACCCTTTACAGGATTATTAGCAACGCGCGTAATACACGCTGAGTGTACAATTAAATAGATGTTACAGAAAGAGAATATTCAGTGCATAATTTTACATTGTGCGAGAAATTGAGCATAACTGAGGTGGGTAACAGAAGGCGGCTTAAACATTGAATATATAAAGAATGGTTTTTCAAGAACTTAAAAATACTCGTTAGCGAGGAGATACTTGGTTGGAAAAGAAGGCAACTGATATGGGGAATATTAACCTAAGAATCTTAGTTCGTTGATCATTTTAATTAGTTTGTTGATCACTTAATATTAATCATTTAATTAACATATTGTGTATGATTATATATGATTAGGCTTTCGTTCAGGATAGCCACAGCTGAAACGTTAGGCTTAACAAATCAGCCGCGTCCAGAAGATGTCATACCGGTCGTATTTGTGCAGCGTACTTGCTATAAATATTTGTATATTTATTTGTATAATTTGAATTCTGCCGTCCTTAGTTAAAATGCCTCAAAGCTAGTATATTCTACAGGATGCGTGGAGTTCCAAATGTATTAGGTCTACCGGAAAGTTCTGTCCGTTTAAGAAATGAGAGGAAATAATAGATTTTTCATAAATTTAGTAATATTTATTGTACAATATAATTTCCGTCGTTACTTATGACCCCTTGCCAGCGTGATGGCGATTTGTGAGCAACATTTTTCAAAAATATATGTCTCAAATAAACATGTGCATATCTATCGAAATTTGCAATGACATTATCGGACAGAACTTTCCGGTAGACCTAATAATTTCGTTTGCCTGTTTTTCACTTATTTAACATTAGAATTACGGAACTCGTCAAAATTTACGAGTCATTTATAATGAATTTACGATCATTCAGATTGTAAAAGTACATTTATGAGTTATTTATTCAATGTACGTGTTACTTGCGGTAAATATTACAATAACGTCCGTTAAAAATCAGAATAAATGTCTTATTGTTACTTGTGTATGAACTAACATAAACCAGCTGCTTTTAATGCTCCGTAAATCCAGTGTCAAAAATGGTTTAATTAATTTAAAGCCACAATTTTAGGATGACCAGAAATGTTTGGACTATTTAACTACGGAGGACAATATCATTGTTTATATATACTAAGGGGCGTACTCCCTGTATACGAATAAATTCAATTCTCCAATACAACGCCGATCAATTTTGTCATTTTTCTCAATATTTGTAATTTCACTGCGCTTACTCGATGCAAAGGGAAACAATTTTCGAGGGAAGGTATTTCACAGTAATGATTTTTTACCTACCGCGACGATCTTAAAGAATGAACGTTAATTTCCGGCGGGTCTAAGAACGTCGCGCCCGCATTATGCATCATTTGATGCAGCGCGGGGATAGGAAGCGATCGCATAACTCACGTTAGGAGCCACCGATATTTCACCGGGCCGCTTTATGGCCGTGTCAAGATAGCTGTCCTAATGAAGCGGTAGCGAAACGTTTGCGTAATTATTTATTTGAAATATTGTTTCGGCCAGTGTCGGGTGTCCGCAATCAATCACACCCTCCTCTGACACGAATGCGCCTCGAATGCGCTACGAAATGCACTTCCGTCGGCCGTGGGGCGGCGTTTACGAGTCTGCCCACTTACGCGCGCGCGCGCGCCATCGGCCAACAATAAACGTTATCTTGCGCGGCTCGAGTGGAAACCGCCGCCGGTAAACAGTCAATAAATATATAACGCTGTTTTATCTGCACGCTGTCCCTTCGCTGGAACGCCCGGCCGAGATTTATCGCGTGTTGCCAACGAATTTCAAGGGAAACGAGCGTTCGGCGCAAGACAGATAGCTCTCGTAGTCGCTGCGAGACAAAACTCTTCGAAAAACCAGCTTCTACGATCCCGCGACTTTCGCGGGTTCGTTCGAAACGAAAATCTCTACAGAATCTGCAATAATTAAACATTTTGTCTTAAACCGATATTGTGATCAACTAGATTTCTTCTGTAATTCTTATACGGTCTGCAAGCATTCTGCCGCAAAATGCTATGCGCCGTTCGTCTTCATCTCCGCTCTCATAATCAAATTATATTTCATGTACATTTTTTCTTTTCTTTCTCTCGAGTTTCTTATGTTTCAGTTTTTTAACTTTAAGTGTCTGTATTTTATTCGTCCTTGTGTGACTGCTGCGTTATTATTATTTTCTCGCACTGTGACGATAAATAAAGTTGTTATTATTATTAGCATCGTCATCATTATTATTATTATTAGAATAAATCGACGTTCGTAATGTTGTACTTATAGTGGAATTATGAAGATTTCTAGTAAGTAAGTTTCTTAATGGATTAATTTGCATTATAATTTGTATTATAATACTACCTAGTTCCTTTATGTTCCTTCCTTACTAACCTCATCACCCACTTTCCCTTTCCTCTATTTTTCTATTATTTTATATTTCTTTACGTCTATCCTAACTTCCAGTCTTGTTATATTTTATTTTATTTTGCATTTTATTTTAGCGTATTTATATTAACGTCTTTCTTACTCGCTTATTATTATTATTATTATTCTTGTTTCTTCAACATTCTTCCAACTCATTTATAAGCATACTCGTATATTTGCCTTTACGTCGGCTGTATCGCAAAGGTTAATCCCGCTTGTGTATACAAACAAATTATGGATTATAAATTCCAATAAAAATGACAAAAGACTTGAAGATATTTTCTTGTCATTCTTACAAAGTATCACTCGTCGGTCACTTTCAATGCTTGGTAGCTATAGCGTGAAAGCTTTTTAGCTTTTCTGCTGTCACGCATTTCAATCAGTCATTTTTGTCGTGAATAGCATAACGCCCGCAGTCATGTATAGGCACTCTTGACGATTTTTAGGGCGTCTCTTGCGATCATTAATTCTGGCATTTTACCGGCAAAGAATTCCGACGATTCGTTCCACGGAACGAATTGAAATTTCCCTCGTTACCGTACGGCGCATTCGATGCATCGGCGCGGCGCGGCGACTGCAAGGGACTGCAAGCGGCTGCAGTCAGACGCAGACAGACCGTGCCCGCAAGATTCCGCGTGGCGCGGCGTGTCGTATTGTTGGAATACCGCGGCGGCACTAATGACATTAACATTTTCGCGTGAAATGTCGAATAATGATTACCGTTACTCGGCGGCCACAATCTCTCATTAATTCTCGTGTTCCGCTCAGGCACAGACACCGACACGGACACCGACAACCGAGACACTGTAATTTGTTTTTTTATTCCGCCTCATAGACCTCGTTACGACGGGGGACTCTCTCCCTCTCTCTCTTTCTCTCTCTCTCGCCAGTGTGAATAGAATGCGCGCGAGCAATAGAAAATACGTGTACACAGTGTATCCGTGTGCAATGTATTCACCATTCTGCGTTGGATTTTCTTTTTTTCTCTACGAGCTGCGCCGTTCCTTTCCGACTTTTCCTTCGCCGTTGCCTGTGGGGTACATTCAGAGCTACACCTCTTCCTTCTCTCCGCCGTTCCCACGCGTCTTTTATTTAATACACCATCTTGTTACGATTTTATTCCCGTCGTTATGGAACGCGGCTTAAGTCGAAATTCGGTCAACCGGCCCGCGAGAAGATCGAGCCGAAAATATGTTCTCGTTCGATCTATTGATCGATCCGATAGGAAAACGTGTTTAGAGACGAAGTCTCTAGGGAAAACAAATTTTACAGTAATGCCTTGTTACGAAATTTGATTCGAAGTTTCAACTTAAACACTGCTTTTATCAGAGTGGCGAAAAGACACCTTCTCAAATTTTAAATAATGATTATAAAATTCAATGAGCAAGAATAGGTATGCAAGGTAGATTACCGCCTAGATTCATGTATAAAGTTATCATATTATAGAGGGTGTTCCAAAAATGTCTCGCAATCCGAAAGTGGCGGGTTCCTCAGGTCGTTCGAAGCAACTTTTTCCTTTATAATAATTTTCTCCGAGGCACTATTAACGAGTTATTCACGAAAAACAGTGACCAATGAGAGGCGAGCTCAGCTGGCGCGAGGCGACCGAGCCAATGAGCGGAACTGGGCTTTGTGCGCTGGTTGGCTGGGCCGCCTCGCGTCAGCCGTACTCGATTCCTATTGGCCACTGTTTTTCGTTAATAACTCGTTAACGGTGCCTCGGAGAAAATGTTTGTAAAGGAAGAAGTTGCTTGAAATGATCCGAGGAACCCGCCATTTCCGGATTGCGAGACATTTTTGGGACACCCTGTATATTTCTTATATATTTTATCTATTAGATATATTATATATAGATATTATATTATATTATATTATATTATATATATATATATATATATATATATATATATATATATATATATAT